TTTTTTTATATATAAAATCGCTGTTTTAACATTTTTTAATTTTTTTATTTAAAAAATTGCTTATTGCAACGATTTAATAATTTTTTTTTAAAAAAAATCGCTGCCAGTGCAGCAGTTTATAAAATAAAATAAAACTTTTTGATATAAATCGCTGCACTGGCAGCGATTTACAAAAAAATAATTTTTTTTTTATAAATCGCTGCACTGGCAGCGACTTATATCAATTTTTTTTATAAATCGTTGCTCAGGCAGCGATTTATATTAAGAATTTTTTTTTATAAATCGCTGCCAGTGCAGCGATATACCTTATTTTTTTAAAAAAAAAATTAAAAAATAATATAAAATCGCTACCATGACAGCGATTTGTAAGAATTTTTTTTTGAAATCGCTGCCTAGGCAGCGATTTCATTTTTTTATGAATCTTCTTATTTTGCAAAATCGCTGCCTCAGCAGCGATTTTACTTTTTCAGGTGAAGTAAATCGCTGCACCGGCAGCGATTTTAGCGTTTTGGTTAATATAAAATTTTATATACCATTTTGAAATTTTTGTTAATATTTTGTACCCTTTGAGTTTCAGACTCTCATAAAAGATGTATGAACATATCTTAAGCTTGCAAATAATCAAGAATCACCTCAAAATACACTTTGTACAGAAAGATATAATAAAAAAACACTAACAGTTGTACAGTCAGGATTTCTAATTCCAGTAGCTGGATAGAATTCTTCCTATTTTGCATCCCATATTTCGAATCCATAACAATAAATTTAGAGTTTTCAATAAACATAATAGTTGTAGAACTACGAAATATCTTTCCACATCATATTTATTCATTGTAAACGAAGTTCTATAAGACAATATATGCTTAAAATACAAAAGACTACCCAACAAAGAATCAAATTTTTTTCCCAACCACTTCCCAAAAGAAGTTGTGTGTTGAATTTACCCAAAAGGAACTTGTTTTTCTCTTGGTTTTGAAGAACATCTGTCTAGCTAATGTTTTAATGTTCTTATACTTTAGGAAAATGAAATCAACCAAAGGAGGTGTAAAATATATAGATACAAAATGATCCTAGTCAACACTATACATGTCAACAAAAGGGGCTGCCCCTAAAAATAGTTGGCTGCCCAGAATCATACATATATATACCCATTTTTATATACCTTATACCCACACCTCCAATATATGTGTAAATATAATTAGAAAATAATGCAAACACCCCCATACTATACGTTAAATTACGATAACAATTTATGTTAAGCACATTATCAAGTATCACAAATTTCAAGTTTCCAAAATGAGAATAAAACATGTTATAATAATATATGGATATGTAAATAATGGTCTAGTTTCTTAGGGGTGTAACAATATTGACTATAAAAGGAGATTTTTTCATCATTGTAATAAATATACATATTCATTTGATAAAAAATTAGTAAAATCTTCAAATAATTTCTATTCATCTTGAATATTTTTCCTAAAATGAATAAAGTATATCTTTTTAATTTAAACAATATTGTAAAACGTCATTTTTATGTGTTTTGTACTATTATTTCAGATTGACTTGTCCCAAGACTAATATAGAATTATATATAATGTGAATTGAGTGACAGGTTGGTGAGTATCATATATTTAACAAAAACATCGTTAAGCAAGATTTAGTTTCAAATATGTTTGAAAGCAATATAAATTTTTAACTAAATATTGTTTATTCAAAATGAAAGAAAATAATAATGTGCTTCGACAAGCGATTTAATTTTTCCACTCATACCTACACCACCATTTAATATTTAAAAAATATTTGTATTTTTTAAATTAACCATAAAAATTGAATACTCTTAAGCATATTCAAATACTGTCAAAATTTATATTTCAATATTCTGAACCAATATATAAATGCTTAAATATTAAATTATGCTCATACTTGAACCAAAATATATGTTAATTTAAAAAAATCGATGAAGGAAATGAATAAACAAATACGTCTGCGATAACTTTATGACCATTTTCTATGTACACTACTCAAATTTAAACCACATTAATATTTTTCCTAATAAGTTGGTTAACATAATACTATAACCATAAGTAAATATATTTTAAAATAATTCTATCTAACTTATATATAATATCCCCTCATTTAGTGTTTTTCCAAAATTGTACTTGCAAGCAATAAAAAAATATCTATTTCAAACTTTTAAAAAAATATAGAGAATTAAAATTTTCTGTATAAATAGGAGTCAATCCCAGACAAGAAAATCAAAACTATACTGCTACTACAACAAATTCATTTTAACCCTAATATTCAAACAAACACATTTTTCCTCCCCTTTAGCCATGACAAGAAACAAAGTGAACTATGCTTTGATTGAACATGATACTAAAAGAAAAATCTCATATGATAAAAGACTGAAAGGGCTGTTGAAAAAATTTGATGAACTGAAAACACTTTGTGATATTGAAGTGGCTACAGTCATATACGGCCTATACAGGAATGAACCATATGCATTTCCAAATAATAATGTTGTACGCAACACTTTTATAAAGTTTAAAGAGTTGCCGATATTGGACAAATCTAAGAACATGGTGACAAGAGAAGAGTTCACTATGAAAAGGATCAAGAAGTTGGAGGAACAACTTTAAAAGATAAGAAAGGAAAATAGGGTCAAGGAAATGACAAATGAGATGTATGAGTTGTTCAATAAAAAAACTCTTTCTGTTGACATGAGCACTTCCTATCTAAACGACCTACGTTGTGTAATAAAAA